GTCCACGGCTGAAATGCCAGATTCAGGACAAAAATCAATTTAAAGTAGTTCAGCTACTCAAGCTAAGAAAAAAAGCAGATTCTGAAAAAAGAAGCATGAAAATGAAACATCTTCAGATAAAAAAATAATAATAATGATTGGGCACAAAAACATGAGTGCTGCTCCAAATTAATCGGACTCTTTTTTTAATCAATTCAATTTTAAAGAAGACTGGATATTTTAATTTGATTTTTGCATCATTTTAAATCAAATCATTTGCGCGTTTCCAAGATGTGTGCGTGTTTTATTAACACAATACATTTGTGAAAATAGATTTGGTTTTTTCTACAAATTCACACAAAAAATATTTACGCACAATCACACATTTGATGTTCATTTTCTCTGGATCTCAAACAGTAGTAAATGCTGCCGACAAAGACAAAGTCACGGGTTCGATTCCTGCATGAACTGATGAACCTCGAATGCAATGTACTTTGCTTTAGATAAATGTGCCTGCCAAATCTGTCAGTGTTATGTAGTGTAACAATTTGTGCAGTATCAGTTTGGTCCATAGCATATAGTCCAGGATGGATGAATTCTGAAATCTGGAAGTTTGTCTGTTGGGTATGAAATGAGTTCTTGATGAACCACTCATGATTACACCCCACAGCTATAGGCCCTTCATGGCATTACAACTTGTGAATACACACGTGAGTGGAGAACAATGAACTTTAAGTTGGCACATCTGCATTTTAAACAGTCATTTGTTTAAAGGGATAGTTCACCAAAAAATGTAATTATCCTATAATGTACCCATTTTCATTTTTGGGTGAACTTTCCCTTTAAGTCCACTAGACACCAAAATAAAAAAAGGCAGTATCATTCTTTCAATGACAGTTAAAGGCATGACTTGTTTCCTTGGATCCCCTTATGTCAGGTCAAGGTTGGTTTATGGAGTAATTCAGGTTTTTGCTGGTATTAGAGCGAAGCATGTACCAATAGAAACCATGACTTTACAAAGAATGATACATTGGCCATGAATGATAATGATTTCCAGGACTTGGAGTAAATGATATACAAAACATATTATTCACATTTTTAATAAAAAACTTATTAAATCAATTTTAGCTTAGCAAATAATGCTTATGACTTTTGGCTCTCATTTTCGACCACCGTCCGAGTGCTCAAATTATCCACCGGAAGCTATACGGTAACTATTTAGGAGTCAAAAAAGCAGGCGACAAAAGCAGAAAATATGAGCGGGAGTGTCGCCTGGAGCGCGTGACTCACTCGAGTCGTTCAATGGAACTAAGATGGTCATTAACGTTCACACTTCAATAGTGAAATACCCCCTCAGCCACCTGGCACAGGTGATTATATCATTATGATCACAGAAGGGTGAAGAGAAACTTTACTTTGCCACCTCGACTAAGAGGGCAATGCTTCTGTGAATTATTCGAATGAGGGAAAAGTTCAAAAAGTTAGGCATTTTTCCAGTTCTTTCAGTGCTCATTGGTAACATTTTATATGCTGGGAGGTTTTCATGAAAACATGTTCTGCTCAGTCCTGATGGCAATTTTTATGCATGCAAAGAAATTAATTTCAAAATTATTTGTGAAGTAAAACATCCAGGCCATAGAAACTCAGCATTTTCTAAATAGAGTATAGCTGGCGCGTTGTTGTATACAAAAAAAGCATTTGAAACTTACAACTGTTGCTGTTTACACACACATAAGTTCAGCAGAAAAGTCAGTGTGGAAAAACTTCTTTCTTGGATCAGTGATCTTGAATGGCGGCCTAAGGCAACATGTTGTGGTTTGGTATTATTGAAAAGCTTATTATGGATTTTCCATTGAAAGCTTTGCTGAGGTAAATTCGGTCTTCGGCATGTCAAAGCTCACAAAGGTATTGAACTGAATGAAGATTATAGCCGAATGACTGACAGGAGAATACTATGGAAGCTTGTTTCCGCCACTGAATGAAAAATAAAAAAGGTAATTGCGTCTTTTTATCTCACAATTCTGACTTTTTTGCTCACAATTGCGAGATGTAAAGTCAGAATTGCGAGATGTAAAGTCAGAATTGCGTGATATAAAGTCTGAATTGCGAGATATAAAGTCAGAATTGTGAGATATAAAGTCAGAATTGCGTGATATAAAATCGCAATTGCGTGTTATAAAGTCAGAATTGCGTGTTTTAAAGTCAGAATTGATTGATGTAAAGTCGAAATTGCGTGTTGTAAAGTCAGAATTGTGATATAAACTACTCTGAGGGGAAAAAAGTTAGTCTTTTTTCCCCCTTAGAATTGGCCTGATAACTCGCAATTGCAAGTTTATATCAATCAATTCTGAGAAAAGATGTCAGAATTTCGAGATATAAACTCGCAATTATGTGTTATAAAGTCAGAATTGCGAGATGTAAACTCGCAATTGTGAGAAAAAAAGTCAGAATTGTGAGATAAAAAGTCGCAATTCTGTCTTTTTTTCTCGCAATTGCAACTTTATTTCTCAGAATTGCGACTTTATATCTCGCAATTGCAAATTTATTTCTCACAATTCTGACTTCATATCTCGCAATTGTGAGATAAAAAGTCGCAATTATTATTATTATTTTTTTTATTCAGTGGCGGAAACAAGCTTCCATAGAATACGGTTTCGTGAAACAGTCGTGATCGGTTATTTGATTTCTTACAACGATGCATCGTACTACGGTATAAGCAGCGGGTTACGTCATAGTACGGGAAACAAACCCCAGAATAGGGATTTAAACAACAGCTGTGACATCCAATTAATAATCTTTTAGGCTAAATAATATTTTGTCATTTGTTCACTGCCGGAAGTGAAAACTCTCCCAGTTCTTCCCAAAGTAATCCTTGTAACAAGACAGAATACTGATGCAAAAACAACCAAAAGTTACTTCAGAAACATTTATCTGTGTTAAAGCTCAAGGCTCTCTGGATTCTAAATAACCATTGCTTTAAATTGATTCAGTTAACTAGAAAACACAAGGCCAATTTGAAATCCAATCATGAAATGAGCTGATGACAAATGGAAACTCGCATTATAGTAATCAAAGCATTGTTGCATTGCTTTGAATATCGTTCTTTGCTAGTTTTATGATTAAAGCAAGGGATGGCTTACCATGTCATTCCAATCCTGTATGGCTTTCTTTATTCTTTCGTGGTACACAAAAGAGGTATTTTGAGAAATGTGTTTTTTTTATATATATATATATATATACCATGAAAGTCACCAAAACATTCTTTAAAAGTCGTTAGATGATGGAATTTTTGGGTGAACAATATCACTGTTAATCACAATTGTGAGTCTAATATTGTTGTAATATAAATTTAAAACACATTTAATATTTTCATTTCTTAGAAACTTACATTTTAGAAGTTATTTTGTCTATTTGCAACATGACATCATGACTTTGCGTAAACATACACGCCACTTTCAATTCAAGTGGCGTGTTATCTATACGCATTTTGAGCTATCCGCGTGTATGTCCACGCCGAAATCTTTTGCGTGTATGTCTACGCCATTAAATGTCCGAGTGATTCCGCGTGTATGTGTACGCCGTTAAATGTCCGAGTGATTCCGCGTGTATGCGTACGCCGTTAAATGTCCGAGCGAAACGAAGCAAAATCTATATCTACATCTGTGGAGCGATATTTCTTTTCCTAGGATGGTAGGAGAAGACTCATAAATGGTATTAACCCCAGTGACGGGTAGGTTTAGGGACGGGGTTGGGGTAGGTCATATATTTATATATACATAATACAGTAATATAACGTTAAGTCAAAGGCGTTGATAAACACGCTGAAAAGCGATTATGCGTGTTGATAGCACGCCAAAAATGGAAATACGAATTGGCGTGTCATACATACGCCATTTCATGAGATCAGTCTGCTATTTGGTTACAAACAATGGAGGAACAACTTTCGCGTGTCTCTAATTTAGAATCAGATTTAAGTGCAGGAACTAACTTTTGTGTAACATATTACAACTTTTAATAAATTCTTAATCATATGATTTGATTGTTAAAACGGCAAGTGAAGACTTCTAGGAAGCGATTTCAACATCAGTCCCTCATTTCAATGTCAAAGGACTGGATCAATGTCAGCAGACTTGTAGAATCAGTCTCTGTGGAAATGCTTTGAGTTCTCAGGTTGAAACCACTGTCATTTTTTCACTCTCTGTCCAAAGAACAAAAGATCAGAGAATCACGTGTCTGATCTGATTTGCTCTGCTAGAAGCAAGAGTGAGATTCTGAATATCTGAGAGACTTGATTAAACTCGAATGGAATGATTATTAGCTATTTGTTCTAGACTTTGAATCAGATCCGATGTGCAATACAAACGGGATCTCATTAATATTTGCCAAAATTCACAAGTAAAGGGTGTTTCTAGCGCACATATAGTTTTGCATGTTCGGATAGACACTAAAATGCACATCAAAACAACATTTCAACATCATTTGCTAATAAATGAGAGTCTCGCTATGGGGATTGTGTCTGAATATTGAACTTGGTGACTTTCAGCGTGGGCCCTCACAGTGGTTTTGTAATTTTCACTCTATCCAAATGTACAAAAATGCAAATACACACATCAGATATTCATCGATAGATCCCCAAAATCAAATCCTCTTTAGTTGCAGCAAAGCGTGACCTGTGACCTTTAAGATTTGCAGCCGGCTGGTGACCTGAAACATTCCCAGAAGCCTGATTTATCACTGCATGCATCGCTTAATAAAACATGACCATCGCTGCTGTTGATGAATATTTATGGTAAAGCAGAAAGTAGTGATTTTGTAGGGGTATACCAGGGCGTCCCGATCAAGCGTGCGGGAGTGTGTGCGTGTGTCGATGCGTACTTCCGTCTCGAGTATGCGAAAGTAAGTGCACCCTGCATGCTCCCCTTGTGTAAAGCATTTTTGTGTATACACTCGTCGACTTGTGTATACATAAACAAGGATGACTGTGTGAGTAGGAGGGAAGCCTAGAAAAGGGAACAGTTGGGCATGAGTTGTCACAGACACCTGGATGGAAAGAAAGAGAAAGAGAGAGTAGCGGAGTGTAAAACAGTTGAGGAGGGACACAGCTTATTAATGAGTAACACACACATGTTCATTTCCAATTTCCTGCTTTAGCTCACATTTAAAAGAGAGGACAACGAGCAAGAGAGCCGGTGAGCGACTGAAGAAGTTTGTGATTCGCACCTTTTCGGACTTTTCTAGGTAAGCTGAACCTTTTTCTTAGAGTACGTGTGTCTGGTCTGTAATGTAAATCTCTGCTGATCTGATGTGCGGTCTGGTTCAGTCATCAGCACCGATATTCCTCATGGTATTTTGGGAACATTAAATTCATAAATCTGCACAGCAGATGATTGGTGGTGGATGAGAACTGCGGGTTCCTCTGGCTGGGCTGAACACTTGCTATTCTGTGCTGTAATTGAGCTTCGGCACAGAGTTGATGTGCATTCTAATAGACTCTGCATTAAACATTAAGCACACTCCGGAGATGGAACAAATGGATCTGGAGCAAACCGAGCAGCACTCAGTCGCTCATAAACGACAGATAAGCGGAGATTACCCGTAGCTAACTGCCCTGAACACGCTGCCATGCGACGCCTGCGTTTATCAACGCTTTTGTTGTAATTAAGTACAAAGAAACATTCCGAATGTGTCAAGGGGAGTAAAATTATCGTGAATCAAAGCCTGAAGCGAAACACAGTCAGGTGTGAGAAGAAATTCTTGAGCTCGAGTGCTCGGATTCACTTATTTATTCAACTAATTTGCACTTGTGTGCATAGTTCATCTTTTTTTAATTGTCTGGAATTGTCGTTTGGAAAAACGTACCTAAACATAGGTTTCACCGCAGCTGAAATGAACACTTAAATGAAACTATGATTACAGAAGCAGATAATCAATTACTTAAGACTGATTTCCGTAAGGTTCCTTGAACTAAAGACACTTCAGCAGTGTTGATTTCATTCTGCATAGAGTTCAGAGATTGGCTTTTGGCTAATTAATGGTAACACACTCACTCATGCTTTGCTTCTTGCACTAAGCACAGCCTGGGAAATTATAGCTAGTTTCAAATGAACTCTAATACCCCCGGTTTCACAGACAACGCTTAAGCCTAGACTAAAGACTAAAATGCATGTTTGAGCTGTTTTAACTGAAAGCAACTTGCACTGAGATATCTTAAAATATGTCAGTGCCTTTGTTTTGCCTCAAGATGCACATCAGGATTGCTTGTTTTTCTTCCATGGCACGTTTTTAAAAGCAACGTAACCTAATTGAACTAAAACCTAATCCTGGCTTAGGCTAAGACCTGTTTGTGAAACCAGGCCATAATATCCTGGAGAAAAAAAAAGTCACAAAAGCTTCAGCTGCTAATAACAATACAACTGAAAGCGATTATTGGGAATGTTATTTGAAATGGCCCACATTCAAAATAGTAATTTACTGTTGGCAAAATATGAAATCACATCAGGTGTTCACATGCACGTATACAGTACAGGATTCGGCTATCTTATCTAATGCATAACAATAGCAAGTGTTTAGCCCTAAATACTCCAGTCTGTTGGACAACACGTTCTCTGTCCTCTTTGAAACGCTGTAGCAACAGAACGACTGGAGAGGATCACAATGAAGCCACAGTTCTGCTGTTTTGCATCAAATCTTGGTTTGTAACAAATATCGCTTGATTCTCTTCCCAGGCAGATCCTGAAAATGACTCGCTCCGTGAGAGAGGTGTTGAAAGAGTACATGTCGGAGCGGAGGGTTCGCAAATATCGCCTGGTGACCAAAGATGGCCGCTGCAACATCGAGTTTGGCAACGTGATGCACCGAAACCGCTTCGCCTATGTGCTCGACATATGGACCACCTTCGTAGAGACCCGATGGCGTTTCGTCATCTTGCACTTCGTGGCGTCCTTCACCCTCAGCTGGTTCATCTTCGGCCTTATCTGGTACTGGATCGCCAGAGACAACGGTGATCTGACTTGGCAGAATCCAGCCAACAACCACACGCCATGCGTCTACAGTGTGACCGACCTGACTTACGCTTTCCTCTTCTCGCTGGAGACCCAAACCACCATCGGTTACGGCAATCTGTACGTGACCAACGCCTGCACAGGAGCCGTGGCTCTGATTATAATTCAGAGTCTTATTGGTGCCATAATCAACTGCTTCTGGTGCGGTGTGGTTATGACAAAAATCGCCCTCCCCAAGAAGAGAGCCAAGACCATAACATTCAGCGAATCCGCAGTTATCTGCCCTAAAAAAGGCACTCTTTGCCTTCAGATCCGCGTGGCCAACCTGCGCAAGACCCTGATGATCGGCAGCCAGGTTTACGGCAAGCTCTTGAGGACCACGATCACCCCTGAAGGTGAGACCATCATCATGGACCAGGTCAACATCGACTTCATGGTGGACGCCGCCAAGGACAACCTGTTTTTCGTCTGCCCCTTAACTCTCTACCACGTCATCAACAGAAGCAGCCCGTTCTTCGACATGGCCGTAGACACTCTGCACCAGCAGGAGTTCGAGCTCGTGGTGTTTTTCGATGGCACGGCCGAGTCCACCAGCTCGTCCTGCCAGGTCAGGACTTCATACATCCCACAGGAGATCATGTGGGGATACGACTTTCTCCCTATCATTTCCCGCAGCAAAGAGGGAAAATACCGGGTGGACTTTTCCAACTTCACCAAAATGGTGCCCGTACCAACGGCTCATTGCGCTTACTGCTACCACAATGAGGCAGGACACCATCACCACTCCATAAACGGCATCGATAACCAGGGCTTTGAGGTCATTGAAATTGAGCCGCCCAGCAGCACCAAAATGTAAAACTTTTTGCCTGACATGTACTGTATTGCACAGAGCAACATTGCGAGCTCAACATCTTGCACTATACAAGAAGCACTGGACACAGTGAGGACGAGAAGCAAGACAAGTGTTTTTATCTCTTGAAATACCCCTTATTTAAAGAAAAAGTCCATTTCTTTTATCGCTTATTTTAGAGCGACTAGCATTCAAAACTGCATCAAGAAAACAATATTTTTGTATCTTTGTTCCGACAATATCAAAAATATAAAAGTGTGAATGCTTCTGTTACAGGGTCATTGTGTCGGGAATGAGAGTATTAACTGCAAGTTCATTAATACGAGATTGACTTTTATTACTCCTCTCTGTATATAAAAGTCTAAGATGAACTGATTTTAAATGTGTATGCTCTGAATCACTCTGGGATGGTGTGTTCCTTTGTAAATGAATAGATATTGTTAATATTGTATTATTGAATTTGTAAATGCCATTTGTACTTTGTGAATATAATTTTTTATAATAAAAAAAATAATAATAATTGGAGTTGGTGCCATTAAAACCAATCTACATTGGCTAAAACAAACCACATGGGGGCGTACAAGACAAAGCTATAGTTGACAACTCTTGGTTTTTTTGCATCCACAGGGCTGGATCAACATTATATCCATTCTCAGATAACAGCGCCCTAATGTGTATCAAACACAGCCAAACAAAGCAGTCGGTGTCACAGCTTTGCCCTAAGCAGCGATGAGTACTTGGAAATTTGTATAGCTCATAAAGCATAAGCATGCAGTGTTGCGCGTAAGAAAGGGTGGTGCGTGATACATCTCTGTTGTCTGAAGCTGTGGCCCGCTGACTCACTACATGACACATCAAATAATAAACGGCCTTATATTAAATATATTAGATGTGGGATGGAGGTAATACCCTGAAGAGCGTTCACTGCCAAACACTTAGAATTAATATATCTTACCTTAGACTATCCATATGTGTGTGCAATCCTTTAGCACTGATATTACGTCAGATAGAGTAATAGAAGTATTTGGCATGCTCTCCGAGGGGAGGACTTTGGTCCGAACCCAGAGTACTTCCTGGCTGGGATAGGAACCAAACGAGAGTGAGGATTCGGGGTCACGGAGGCATGCAGGAAAACATTGAGGAACACAGGTGAGTCGACTATGTGTATACAGCCTCCTCACGTGCTCCTCACGTAATTTGCTAATAAAAATCACTAATACTCAGCAGATTTAATGTGCCATCATGCTCCCCAGATGTGCTCATGATGGTTCATGATCACTCAGTACTGGATTAGATGAAGTATCATGTAGTCTAGACCTTAAGATTGATTCAGAAGTCAGACTCAGATTTTTCTATTGGTCCGTTTGCAAGGGTGATTTAAAATTTGATAAAAAATAGTCATATTTTTCACAACTGTATTTAATGTGATCATATAAATGCATTGTTTAGTTTAGCGGTTTAGAACATCACCCTTTTAACAAATTCAATCAAAATATCACATATTTGGTTACATATTATTTTAAGGTGACGTAGTTTTATTGTACTTATTCAAATACTGAGTAATTTAATTAAGTATGTACTTACTATAGAGTTACGGTTAGTGTTTAGGGTTAGTTATTTGTAATTATGCATTTGTAATTATACTGTTATTACTATAGTAAGCACATGTAGTAATGTGTAACTACGTCACCTTAAATAATACCCTGTATTTTCTTTTCAACTGCCGCATTGGTCAAATGACACACACACAGTTATATGGAGAGATTTTTAATGTAAAAACATTTATTTTGTCACATTTTACCTATTCAACAGACCCTTTTACAAAAGGTAATACTTAATAAATTGCAGAAACGACAAAATTACCAAAAAAAAGATTAATTGCAATATTTCATATATATATATTTATATAGCAATAAATTTAATATCCAAATACTTGCATATATAAAATAGCACAATTCCTTCATATCTGAGAGTGATGAACAGTTGGGAATTTCCGATCATCTTTTGTCTTAATGCTACAAAATACACAAGAGGAAACGCTTGTGTGAAACTAACACTGTCCGAACACTTTTTTTTAGGCACATACGTTTGCCAGTAATACGATTTGGCATTGAGGGTTTATTATGGCACTTCGGAAAACCGATTGTCTCCAAGCATGTTTGGTAAGGCATTTGCTTCTAGTGAATACAAATATTAACTACATATCAAAATAACTTTCTTATTGTCACGGCATTAGAAAATGCATTTTCTGAAAAATACAAGAGAACATTCATAAACTTATTGCCCATATGTACAGATACAAAACACCTACGTAGTTCAAACTACCTTCAGTAACTGATAAAAAAAGTTTGCATTTTGACCGAGGTCAACTCGTATTAACGTATGATTCTTAACACTGTCACATATGAAAATAGCTCTGCATAATTTATACAGTAAGATGCGTTTAATGCCTAGTTGACCTTTGATCAAAAAAAAAAAAAAAAAGAAATACTAGCAAATAGGTCTGACAAACGCACAGCGTTCGCGAATCTCTGGTTTCAACGTCTTGTGCTGCTGTTTTAGCTGTTATTTTGTTTTCTTTTCTTTGAAAGAGGTACTTTGCATGATGCCCGCATTCAGCGATCCAATAATCTAGTCAGGATTTTTAAGACATATAGGAATGCAAACAAATATCATGTGAATTTGAACACTTTGGCTGTTTTGAGATGAAAACGAGTGGATTTTCACTGAGGAGGCAGTGAGATTCACACGGGACATCAGAAATGTAAAGCAGGTTTCGATCCATTCGACAAAGCTTTCACATCAACACCGTCTTCTTCATCAGCGTAGAGGAGTGCTAAAGATGAGTAAGTGAGTTTAGCTTGAGCCAGCTAGCCTGAGAAGCTCCTAAAAAACAATCAGGCGCCACGTCCTCCAGCAAGGAGGATAAATGGCGGCTGAATGCCAATATTTGTTCCAGTTGCCAGATTTGCTTTAGAAAAGAGAGTTTCAGTCACAACTTACAAAAGATAAATTCATGTAACCAAGGTGGGTTTAGATAAAATCCAAAAGGGAAGCAGGGACTAGGTCCAAAAATATAAACACTCGGTTCACAATTGCATTAACACACAGGGTGAGTTTACAGTGATTCGTTTTTTCGGTCGGTCGGTCGGTCGTTCGTACGTACGCCGACTTATACATAATAGAGGTGGTCTTTATTTGGTAGAAAGGGACTCTGGCCCATCGGTGCAGCTTTCGGGTGTGGAAAGGCACATGCGCAAACTCTCCAAAACAAACACCAACCCAAGTCCTTTGAATAAGTAGTACTCCATTTTGAAGAGGATCCGCCATTTTTGGTCCATTTTGTCTTTACTTTCTCTGTCTTTCAACATCTGCTTCCTTGTACAAAACGTTTCGGCCAAAATCCCTCCCTTTCCAGCGTCCTTGTTTGTCTTCGCTCCGAGTGCAGTTCAGGTTTCGGCATGCGGGGAGCGGGTGAGAGGTGAGGGGCTTTAGTTTAGTAGTAACTGCCTAGGTGAGAATTGGTATGACGGGGCATGCCGGGATTGGGATAAATCCCACCTGTCGGAGAGCTCCAGTATGGGGTTGTGGGCCCGAAGAAATTGGAGGACGTGACGGGCATGGACGGAGGATGGGGCGAAACGAAGTTGACCTTCTGCTGGTGAGCGTGGTAACTGGGCACGTAGGGCAGCTCGGTGGGGTACTTGTACATGGTGGACTCGGTGGGATGGGGCTGCAAGGCCTGAGCGATGCCGTGGAAGTCAAACTTGTAGGCGTAGCGCTTGCCGTGCACTTTGGTCATGATGTTCTTGTCGTAGTAGTAGCGCAGGGCTCGGCTGAGTTTGTCGTAGTTCATGTTGGGCTTACTCTTGCGCTCACCCCAGCGACGCGCTACTTCGTCGGGGTCCGTCATCTTGAACTCTCCGTTGGTTCCCTCCCAGGTGATGCAGCCGGCGTTGGCACTGTCAGAGAGAAGCTCGAGCAAGAACTGCCACAGCTGGATCTGACCCGAACCTGGACAACCACACCAAGAGGGAATCTTACCAGACATGCATGTGATAATATCACTTCTGTTATGGGTCTTGTTTATATATATATATATAGCAATTAAATTAATTGTCAATAAAACAAAGTTTTAGTAGAAAATACTATTTTACTTAGCCTGGGAAAACCCAGACAACTTCCGGCAAATTTAGATTTGCTCTGAAAGTTAGTCTGGCAAAGAGCTCATTCAAGCCCATTTCCAATCCGTCGAAATCGAGGCACCAATCAGAAGCGTTGGGGCGGGCTTTACACGATGAAGACAGCGCTGGGATTTTGAAGCAGATTTTGTAGCCTACATTACAAACATCACTCGTTCGAATCAGCTATCGCGTCTGTTTTAAGCGATTTGAACGTTTCCTTTTAGTTAAAAACCGAGCAAAGAACAACACTCGGAGATGTTTCTCCGCCGCTCTGCATACGTCATCTCCTTCATCGCTCTGATTGGGTTTAGGTCTATCCGCGACGTCCGTTGGTGACGCCCCTCTGGAAATTATTTGTCTATGACGCTTTGCCAGACCATAACTCAGTTACAACTGAGAATGGTCTGGTTTTAACCAGGCTACTATTTTACTACTTTCTACTTCAAAATTTAACATTTAATTAATTATTCAAATAATGCAATTATTTGTGAAATTTATTAAGCAATTTTTGAGCACTGTTGTTTTTACTATCACTGATTTGCTGCTTTTAATATTATGAAGTGTATTTTTTAATATTTCAATTGTTAATCTTAGTTAAGTTTTAGTAATTTTGGTGTGTAAAAAAAAAGAAAAGTTTTTAAATATGTATGTATAGTTCTTATTAATCTTTATTTTATGTACATTTTTAGTTTAAGTTAAACTAAAAAGTGGGAAATTGTGCTTTGGCAAATCGCTGAAATAATATAATTAACATTTTTAACAGTTAACGCTGTTTTAAATCATGTAACGAATATTATATAATATTATATAATATTATTGCTCACTGTTTGATCATGTTAGTTAGAGCTTTTTTGTAAAGTGTTACCAAAATTATTTTAGTTTTAGTTTTAAATCTATTTAGACCAAATAGTAGAATTTTAGAAAAGCAGAGAAATAGTATACAATCACCCGTTTCTTAATTACTGGCCGTAACATCTGTGCTGGCCAGAATTTTGATAAAATATTAATATTTTAAAACAATGTTTCTAAAATGACCTGTTTTTCTTAAAAGTACAACATAAAAAAGTACAGTAAGTGTTCCTGTTGTTACCTGGGTTGGCAAGTCGACTGCTAGTGGGTCCTAATATCTGGTAAGGGTCTGAAAGGAAAGAGAAATGAATCTGGATGTGACCTTAGCACTAGGATAGCTGACAAATTCCACAATTTTATAGGAGATCTACTAGCTGAACTGAAGAAGAATAGTACTAGCAACAAAAGGGACATGACTTCAATGAATCTATAATCCAAATGCACATTTAGGCTACCACCTGCTAAATACATAAATATGAAATCTATGTGAACGCTTACCGGGCTGAGGCCGAGCCGGCTCACTGTTCTTGGACACGTTCTGAGAGACCACTGTAGGAGAGCCTGAGAAATGGAAAGGAAGAAAGAAAGAGAGAGAAAAAGAGTTCAGCACATTCGTCTGGGCGAGCAGACGCTCAAGTCTCGCTCCAAAGAAAACAAGGGCAAAAGCTGGCCGAACTGCTAAGCACTTAATGAGCCTCTCCAGCTCCCAGTGTCCCTAAACTAAAGCCTGGCCATCTGCTGACTCTCCTGTCCAGGACAACGCTCAGATCAAGAACATCGCCCACCAACACTGATGCGTTTCAGTGTCTGACCACCCAATAAAAGCAATGAATCAAGGTGGACTGCTGACACTGACCTTTGCCGCTGTGCATGTTGTTTGACCAGCCTGCCCTCCGGACAGCATCATAGGACGCATCTGGAGAAAAGAGAAAAGAATTTAAAGGTGTTTTTCTAACCTGCTATTGCTTTTTCCAAAAGCTCAGTACGGCTTTGGAAAATGTTTTAATGGTCCTGCAGAATTTTATTTGGATTGATTATAGCAGTTTATATCCAATGTCCTTGCCTGAGGAGCAAACTCAAGCTGTGTGTGTGTGAGTGTGTGTGTGTGTTTGTGTGTGTGTGAGTGAGTAGGGGGTGGGGGGGGTCGTGTAACCCTACAATATGGGGACAAAATTTCCCCACAAAGATGTCAATATACGAAATCCTTATACATATTTTGGTCCCCACGAGGAAAACAGCTTATAAATCATACTAAGTGATGTTTTTTGAAAATGTAAAAATGCAAAACGTTTTGTGTGATGGGTAGAGTTAGTGTAAGGGGAGAGAATATACAGTTTATACAGTATAAAAATCATTATGTCTATGGAAAGTCCCCATAAATCATGAAAACTCAACAAGCTGTTTGGTTTTATCTGACAAACTCACAACACACTCACATACTAATGCAATCACACTGAGAAGCCAATAATAACGTTGTCAGGATTGCAGTTTGAATCTGTTTGGTAAGAACATCATGAACATCAGCTCGTCTTGTTTTTAGAGATCTCACACAACCACAAATTGCACACACATTTTGAGCACATAGGTACACAGCAGACTGTGACTGATTTCAGAGCCAAGAAACAAGTTATATCCGTCTCCCAGGCTTCAGTGGTATGCGTTATGCTCTAACAATGAAATATTTCCTCCCATAACATGTTTTATTAGCACATGAAATAGTTCCTTTTCCAAACGCTTTCCAATAAACCTGTGAACATTTTGAAAAGTAAATGTAAATGTATGTGGTGGTTAAGTGCATGCATATTTTTAATAAATGGATTCATTTAAACACTAGAAACTCCTAACAACTCAAACTCATTTCAATTTCAAATCATTGCTGCAATCGTTTCCCTGGCCTTCCCCACATAGTGCATTCATTTTTAATGCATGAAATATAAATCATATTTGTGCTGATAGGGATGGACTTGCTATAGAGAGCATTGGGAGAGAAAAGTCCCACCGACTGACAGATTCAAGCCTGGATCTTCACACAGTCTGTAATGTGCTTATTTCTTATTAAGTAATTCCATTGTGGCACAGAGCTGGGTTATTATCAATAGCTAAAACTAAATGATCAATTTATTTGGTCACACTTTAGATTAAGGTCCAATTCTCACTATTAACTAACTATTAACTATGACTTTTGCCTCAATAAACTCCTAATAACTGCTTATTAATAGTTAGTAAGGTAGTTGTTACGTTTTAGGTAGGATTAAGAAATGTAGAATATGATAAAGCATTGCTTTATAAGTACTAATAAACAGCCAATATCCTAGTAATATGCAAGCTAATAAGCCACTTGTTAATAGTCAAAATTGGACCCTTTAATAAAGCGTTACCTTTTTTTATAGCCTATAGTTTTAATAAAAGTTTTGCCACAGAGTTGCATTTTGAAGTTCTAAATTTTCTGTAAACCTACGTAAGGCTTAGCTGATTTATTAAGATGGATGAATGGATGGATGGATGGATGAATGGATGAAACCTATTGAACAAATTTCCAAAAATGTTTAATAACTCAGTCTAAGAAGCATGTGTTTTCACTGTAAGAGTGATCCCAGGAAACACAGGTTTTTATTCTCGCATGGCAACGCCGCATCCGTTCTCCTCGGAAAACGGCCAGATTCCCCTTCATTCTCAAACGTACTCTTAAAACATTCCCATCATGCCTTGCAGCACTGTAGTGATCCCTTTTTCCCGAACGGAAATGAACCAATGACTGGCACTAATCAAGTTTCTACATGCCCTAGATGGGCTTTTTGGCCTTGGTTCCAGAGCGAGTGCTTCCTCTAGGGCTTTAGATGGGCTCTATGTACGACCCTATGGATGAAACTGCCAGAGACGGCCAAAAAATGTTGGCCCAATGCTAGTTTACTGGAATTATGTCTTTGAAAGTAACCGTTGTGGTATGACTGTCCTGATGGCTCGAACTTTAGTGCACAACTCCACCTGAACAGTTGTGATAAAACACTGCCCTCTTCTGGTCACTGTGTTTGAAATCTCTTCCAAGTTTGGGTGGAACTTAGAGACATTATCCTCTGAAGACAAAGAAAAATGTTTAGTTTGGAAAGCGCTGATAAAAGTACATGGCCCACGTTTCAAAAGCAAAGCAGTATCTCCAGCCAGCGTTTCTCAGCAAAAACAGAATCCAAGAAAAAGGAAGAGGCTAATCTCTAAAAGCATCTCCTTCAGTGAGAAAGTGCAAGGCTTTCATTGCTCCTGGTTATCGTGAGATCCAGAGCTGAACTTGACGGAGAAGACTTACGCATTGCATTATTGAATACACAGCACATTAGTTCAAGTCTTAGATTAAAGGAATAAATCACCCAAAAATGTATATTTCTCTTTAAACTTTTAAGAAAGTTCCATATAGAAGTTTCAACAAAACGACAGTTTTATAATGACATTATCAAAGGTAAAAAATAAACGGTAACACTTTACAATAAGGTTTCATTTGTTAACATTAGTTTACTTAACATGAACTAACAATGAACAATTCTTATAGCATTCATTAATCAAAGTTAACATTTAGTAATCAAAATCTAAAGTTGTGACGAGATTTTTAACGATGAGATTTTTATTTGGCAAAGATTAATAAATGCTTCAAATATATTCCTCATTGCCAGTTCATGTTAGCTAATGCATTCACTAATGTTAATAAATGAGACCTAAAGTGTTACCAAATAAACAAGCATATTAAAAACATCATTAAAATTAGTCTAAAGAACTTTATATTTCATGTCTTCAGAAGTCATATTGCTTTGTCCTCAAGATCAATACACATGCAAGAACCAATAACATTATTTTAACTGACCTCTAAACTTAAGCATTGTTAAAGATTCTTCAAAAATTCTCTTTTTGTGTCCCATGGGGAAAAGCATTTGGGTTTGTGACAACATAATGAGAAAATAACTCTATTTTAATTTCATTTGGATGAACCATTCCTTCAAGGCAACTCAGATGCATATTTTTGAACTATAAATATTGAAACTGCATGAACTGCACTACACACCCAGACCCTGAATCCATGTCACTTCTGGGAAAAGTTGCTTTTCATTTAATGTTCCTCTATTTTAGGCCTTCTATCATTCTTTGTCCTCAAACACTCACTCTTTCCCTCTAACGATCTTCCATCCTTCACTCTCTCGGTGTCTGTCAGATCTGATCTGGAGCAGGGCCGGAGAGAAGCGAAGAGAAGAGAGAGAGAGAGAGAGAGAGAGAGAGAGAGAGAGAGAGAGAGAGAGAGAGAGAGAGAGAGAGAGAGAGAGAGAGAGAGAGAGTCCTGAGAGAGTTACGTTTCCTGCCTGCCGAGTCTGCTCACACAACCTCTCTTTGTTTTACTGGCCTTTTTTTCCCTCGTTTTTTCATCCCCCTCCACCATGAAAAAACACACAGCAGCCAGGAGGAGAAGAGGGGTCAGAAACCGATGGGGAGAACAGAGCAAGGCAGAGAGAGAGAGATGGAGAGCAGACGGTACACATCATCGGAATTTGCAAAGAAAACAGTGGTGGTGGCCGTCGCTACTGTCTGATAGAGACGAGGAACGAACACTGACGGATCCCACCACCAGATCTTCTCAGCGAGGCCCGTAGTCCTAATTCAATCACGTCAGAACTTGACTGCGAAACAGCAGACAGATGTGCATCTGGGATATGGATAGAACGGATCGGATGCTTTTTTTAAATGTCTCCTGTCCTGATTCGATGGCCATAAATTTAGATTTGCTTCACTGTCACTAATGCGTGCTATTCTCCGCCATGAATAAAAGGGAAGGCTCTATATCACAGGGCCGAGCAGGCGGTCTCCAGCATGTTGTGTTGTTAGTGTGCTGTGTGTGTTTGGGTGTGGTGTCTCCTCGAGAGACCAGGCTTCTGCTCTCAGAGTCAAAACAAGATTCTCGCCCAGCCAGACGTCTAGACTAGCTCACGGTTTAAACGGGACGTAAAAAAGTTCAAGGTATATGGGCATTTTTAAGCAAACCAATGCCTAAAGTGAGATTCAAATGTCCGTCCAAGTGGCCGTTTATACGGGACGCACTCACGCATTCAAAACAGTGCAAAAGAACGCGGTTTGACTCTAAAATATGGAGAGTTCCCCTGCGTTTGCCGAGCCGGACTGACATGAAGCCTCATAACACGAGTGAGAGAATAAAGCAGCAGCTCTGAGTGTAATGCTGAAATAAGAGAAATGAGTATAAATCAAACAATAACACACACTAAATATAGGGCAAAATAGTATCCATCCATCCATCCATCCATCCATCCATCTGTCTATCTATCTGTCTATCTATCTATCTATCTATCTATCTATCTATCTATCTATCTATCTATCTATCTATCTATCTATCTATCTATCTATCTATCTATCTATCTATATCTGTCTATCTATCTATCTATCTAGGCAGCCATATGTCTATCCATCCATCCATCCATCCATCCATCCATCCATCCATCCATCCATCCATCCAGCCATCCATCCATCCATCCATCCATCCATCCATCCATCCATCCATCCATCCATCCAGCCAGCCAGCCAGCCATATGTCTATCCATCCATCCATCCATCCATCCATCCATCCATCCATCCATCCATCCAGCCAGCCAGCCAGCCATATGTCTATCCATCCATCCATCCATCCATCTATCTATCCAGCCATCTGTCTATCCATCCATCCATCCATCCATTCATCCATCCATCCAGCCATCCATCCATCCATCCATCCAGCCATCCATCCATCCATCCATCCATCCATCCAGCCAGCCAGCCAGCCAGCCAGCCAGCCATATGTCTATCCATCCATCCATCCATCCATCCATCTATCTATCCAGCCATCTGTCTATCCATCCATCCATCCATCCATTCATCCATCCATCCATCTACTATCTTTCCAGCCATCTGTCTATCCATCCATCCATCCATCCATCCATCCATCTATCTATCTATCTATCTATCTATCTATCTATCTATCTATCTATCTATCTATCTATCTATCTATCTATCTATCTATCTATCTATCTATCTATCTATCTATCTATCTATCTATCTACTTTGTTCTAGTCGCTTATTGGTTGTTTAGTAACACACTTCTTAGTACAGGAGTGTAGTACACACACACACACACACACACACACACACAGTAGGCAGCATAACTATGCTGACTGATTACTTTTTGGAACAGTTATCGGCAGTGAACTTACGATGCCTTAATATACAAACTGGGCTTTGAAAAAGAGCCAGTTGTTAAGATCAGTATAATATGCTATTTATTGTTCTAAGTGGAGGATTAATCTGTATTAATCTTTAACTACCCGTGTGAAATTGGCCTAAAATAAATGGCCAAAGATGAAAGGGCAAGTGAAAATAAATCCAGCCCATAAGTCTTGCTATCAAAAGTTTGATCTCCTGCTGATAAACGACGACCTGTTAAATGGCCACTTTTTTGAGGAGTTTTAGCATTTTTATGCCTTTGATTAGATCACTAGCTAAAGCAAATTTCACTATTCCAGCGTTATATAAAGGACGCTCGAGAAGTTTTCTCACGAAACACTCTGCCATCAGTCTGTCCGTCACTTAATGCTCTGCTGTGATTGACAGCTGTGAGAAGAGGGTCAAAGGTCATACAGCCTTCTCAGCATTATCTTATCTTCAAGTTCACAGTACTAATGACCCTAATGTGAGTCTGTTGGCTGGGAGTTGAGAACAGGTGGTCTGACTTCTGGCTTTGATCAGGATAGCCGGTCCTCTGGTCTTCTCCAGATAGCACTACTCCCAGGAGCTCAGGACTATCACTGTTATTGCAGTCTCGTGCTTTCTGAAGTGGGAATGACCAAAGTGCTCCGTTCTCCAGAGAGACTGTCAAACATTTCCTTAAATGGTTTATGGAAACCGATTTCCATGATGAGTTTGAGAGGCTGATTTAATTTGGATGCGTATCTTGTGTTATCATTGGAAAGTACACAAGTAAATTACGTAAATGAGTCACAGCAATCGTTGTCTATCATCTCTGTGGTCATGTACGCATGAGCGATCTAAAAACTTTGGGGGGGGGGGGGGGGGCAACTTAGCAGCTTTGCACATGAATATTAATCAATTGATGTTTAATATTCAATTGATCCTACCTGATATAATACACTATAAGGACTGCAGCTTATACAGCTGAAGATTCAACAGCGTGGATTTATTTTATATTGTTTTTATTATTAATAATATAATATAATATAATGAATTTAATTTAAAAATATTTTGATTTCGAAGTCCCAGCAGACAATTCAACAACAATCCACAAAAATCCAAAGCCCAACGCTGTCCAAAAACGAACTGTTTCTGTTTCAAAAATGCATTATTTAGCAACCCCTGGGTTGTTGACTGGTTTTATGTGTTGCTGTTAATGCAAATAGAAAAATAATCCAAAATGGGAAAAAATGGACACTAAAAAAAGCATGCACACTATAAGTGTAAAAGGGTGAAACAAGCAAAAAAATTCAAATAATAATAATAATAAAAATGTATGTATATATAAATATGACTGTCTGATTTTACACTATGCCAGATTGTTTCTATTATCGCAAGCAACAAGTCATTTTGGAGCAGATATTGATACTACAGTAGACTAACAAAAAAAAAATGTTTCAATGCTATAAAATCAGTTTAGATCAAGTCCTCATGCACAATACACCCCTACATCACTGTTATTGTGGTACACGTGTCTTCCATTAACACGATTTGTAGACGCTTGAGTTCAGTTCTGCTGTATTGTCCACAGAGACACCTGTCTCTAGCCTTTCTCTGTGTGTGTGTCCCTGTGTCTCTCGTTCCAGTGTGGCACGTGGCTTTTGTCTTGCTAATGGTCTCTGTGCTCTGAGAGCCCTCTGCTGTCCATGTTCAGGTGGAAATTGAATGCTTGATGCTTTTTATTTGCGCCACACAAAGACAGCACCTGCTGGCCCTGGAGCCCTGCTCTGATACACCGAGAGAGGGGACGGGGCCAACAAAACACTCTGTAATGCCATTATTTTGATATAATGTTAAGACTTCCTCAATCCTCATGCCATTTCCATATGCATTGTTCACCTATGTGCCTTTTGTGCCTCAGAATTAGTAACCCGTGGATGGCACCATAAGGATACCCAGTGGAAATGGTATTATTGCAAATGTATATACAGTGTAGAACTAATGAAAATGATTGTTGACAATCATCGAAACATACCGTCTTTGGCAGCCAAGCGAGGAGACTGGTCGGCATGAGATGGTGTGTTGTATGATATTGATGAGCTGCCTGAAACACACACAACAAAAATACATTTTAGAATGATAAAGATGTCAGAGTAATACATTCATTGAGGTTAAAAATCAGATACACTTTCTTTCAATATAGATTATCTGACAAGACTTAAACATTTAGCTTTATATAATTAATATGTTTACTATAATGGTATGATATATACAATGTATTATATATTATTATATAACACAATATATTAATATAAATAAACATATATTATATTCTTAAAAATAAATTATTATTATAATATAAAGTATAAATTATATAATAAACACAATTTTATAATAAAAATAATTCCACTCTTAAATATTAAATGATTATTCGGTGAGGTTCAAAATCAGCCAGGATAACAAAATCAAATGCAGATGACAATACTTATATAATATTAGAAACAAATATTATATTTAATGTTATGCTTTTGCTTTATAACTTTAGCATTTGTAAAAAAAAAAATGTTGGCCATGAAAATTGTACCTATTTATGTGCTTATGTCTTAGTTTTGAGGTGTATACACATGTAATAACTATGTAATTACATTGTAACAAGTTATCTAATTGCATATTATGTAACAAGGCACTTAATCAAGCATTAAACATCTATCATTGATTCCCAACATTCATTTCTCTTCACACCAGCTCCTCGGTTTTTGTCATCCAAACACAATCTACACTTTGCACAGAGAGAGGCATTCATGTGCAGTCTGAGAGTGTTTCCAGCGAGCCGTCCCTGAAGCGCTCTCTTAATTTTAGCTGCTTTAACTCATAAATCAGCGCAAAGGAAAACAGAAGGAAAATTGCACTGGCAAAACACGAGTCTTCCTACTACGGACGGTTCAAGCGGTGGGATTTCAGCAAATGCGAAAGGAGGGATTCATTATTTTTTTCTGAATGAAGAAAAGGAAGGGGTGATATTTGTCGTTTTTCTTTGATCAGCTCAGAGAAGATAGAAGGGTGTTTTAATGTGTGTAAGTATGTTTTTACGGGGGAGGAGAGCGCATTGAAGACATATTTTAACCTCCGGGCCCCTAAACCCCCCTGAGCGGTGCTGTTGGGGCCACAGAACAGGGCAGGCTTTGTGTGGGGTGCGATCCGCACATGGCAATCAAAGACTGCTGTTCCTATACAAAAATAACCCCCCACAAATCCATGAAAGAAAGAGAGAGAAACTTTTATAGGAAAACCAGCATGAAAAATAAAGACAAACGTTCGGTACAACAACATCTTTGTTAAGCAGCAGCTGAGTTTTACAAGCGCTTAACTATCTATCTATCCATCCATCCATCCACCCATCCATCCATCCATCCATCTATATCCATCCATCCATCTATATCCATCCATCCATTCGTCCGTCCATCCATCCATCCATCCATCAATCCGTCCGTCCGTCCATCCTTCCATCCATCCATCCATCCATCCATCCATATCCATCCATCCATCTATATCCATCCATCCATCCATATCCATCCATCCATCTATATCCATCCATCCATCTATATCCATTCATCCATCCATCCATCCATCCATCCTTCCATCCATCCATCCATCCATCCATCCATCCATATCCATCTATATCCATCCATCCATCCATATCCATCCATCCATCCATATCCATCCATCCATCTATCCATCCTTCCATCCATCCATCCATCCATCCATCCATCCATATCCATCCATCCATCCATCCATCCATATCCATCCATCCATCCATCCATATCCATCCATCCATCTATATCCATCCATCCATCCATCCTTCCATCCATCTATATCCATCCATATCCATCCATCCATCTATCCATCCATCCTTCCATCCATCCATCCATCCATCCATCCATCCATCTATATCCATCCATCCATATCCATCCATCCATCCATCCATCTATATCCATCCATCCATCCATCCATCCTTCCATCCATCTATATCCATCCATATCATCCATCCATCTATCCATCCATCCATCCATCCATCCATCCATATCCATCCATCCATCTATATCCATCCATCCATATCCATCCATCCATCTATATCCATCCATCCATCCATCCATCCATCCATATCCATCCATCCATCCATCCATATCCATCCATCTATATCCATCCATCCATCCATCCTTCCATCCATCTATATCCATCCATATCCATCCATCCATCTATCCATCCTTCCATCCATCCATCCATCCATCCATCCATCCATCCATCCATATCCATCCATCCATATCCATCCATCCATCCATCCATCTATATCCATCCATCCATCCATCCATCCTTCCATCCATCTATATCCATCCATATCATCCATCCATCTATCCATCCATCCATCCATCCATCCATCCATATCCATCCATCCATCTATATCCATCCATCCATATCCATCCATCCATCTATATCCATCCATATCATCCATCCATCTATCCATCCATCCATCCATCCATCCATATCCATCCATCCATCTATATCCATCCATCCATATCCATCCATCCATCTATATCCATCCATCCATCCATCCATCCATCCTTCCATCCATCTATATCCATCCATATCATCCATCCATCTATCCATCCATCCCTCCATCCATCCATCTATCCATCCATCCATATCCATCCATATCCATCCATCCATCTATCCATCCATCCATCCATCCATCCATCCATCCATCTATATCCATCCATCCATCCATCCATCCATCCATCCATCAATCCGTCCGTCCGTCCGTCCATCCATCCATCTATATCCATCCATCCATCCATCTATATCCATCCATCTATATCCATCCATCAATCCGTCCGTCCGTCCATCCATCCCTCCATCCCAATTCACTTTACATCTTTTTTACATTCACATTCGAATTGGAAATGAATTCAGTTCTGTTGCAGGTCTGGATCATTGCATTAGTGTTCATTACACAACACATATAACACAGACCGCAAACTCATCAGCACAGAAAACAGAAGAACAGCCGATGTGAGACTACAACAGTGCTCAGGTTTAATCCCAGACTTTATAAGTTATGACTCAATCTTCCAGAAGCTGTACAGTAGAAATGTGGATCCAGAGATGCACAAAATCCCACAACAGTATTTAGGAAGGTGCTGAAACATCCAACATAAGCGATAATCCACCACAAATGGAGGACAGATCAATAAAAGCTTGTGGGAAAGGGAGAGAGAGCTAGAGAGAAACAGAGAGAGAGAGAGAGAGAGAGAGAGAGAGAGAGAGAGAGAGAGAGAGAGAGAGAGAGAGAGAGAGAGAGAATAGGCTGTTCATATGTTTATGGTCTGTGTAAACCATCAACGGTCTCTGAATGTCCCACTCTGAATTATCACTGTGACCAGTCTGTCTCATAACTACAGCCAGACCTGCAGCAACTGTGTGTGTGTCTGTCAACTTTTTTCTCAGACCTTTCATCAAAAATAAAACCCTCAATGACAAATTTAGCTTTTCAAGTCAAAAATGTGTTATATGAATTTCTTTGAATTCCAATACATTTTTAGATATACTTCTTTACATTCAAATTGCGATTCTATTAGCTAAATTGTAAAAAAAATGCTTTCAATTTATGAAACCATGGCTCATTTTCTCAATACTCAACATACAAAACCACAAAACACACAACATGCAAAACATCACACATCTATTGCAAAAGCAAACACTTTATTCAAAACTATTTGAACTCTTCTGAAAATGGTGTTTTTGCATACACACAATCCATCCAATGATTAGCCACATACACGCCGAACTACACACGGATGTGACAGATGTAAAACACTTCTATCTAGAGTCTTTTGCTTCTTCAATGTATGTATGTGCATACACTGTATATACAGTATGTATGCACAATAATACATTTTACAGTTATTGAACTGAACAGAATCAAAACTGAACTAACCTGAGCTGAATATTGACACTATTGGCTAGTTAGAGCAGCAGAATTTAAATATGTGAATTTGAATATGTTATGTTGTAAAGCTGCTTTGAAATAGCCTGAATTGTATAAAGCACTTTAGACATAAAATTGACTTGACTTGACATCCATATTCAGTGTAGGCCTACTGTATATTTACTAAATGAACAGAAATGCAAGGGTAAAAAATGTATTTGTTTCTCAAAACATTGAGTTTTGATTTCTAAGTGATCAATTTATGTATTAGTGTTTTCACACATGACCGTTGGGTATAGGGAAATGATTGTGGCGATTTAAATGGCAGTGTTTTCTAAATGAAACACACGAGCTGTTAGTTTTGAATGATAATGTAGAGAACTGTGTTTAGCATATTGCAAAAAGTTTGTTTTACAATTGCAAACTGAGTATAAAGCAGAAATGCACGCAATTTTGCAGACTTGGTCTGAAGATTAGACATATATACCTCAAGTGCCACTTTTAGTGTGTAAGCAATTAACAAAAACTGCACTAAAATGTAGGAATTGAATTAGAGTTTGAATTAAGCCTTTTCAATTCAGTTCTAAATGTCAAAATTAATATCATGTAAACTGTGGAAGTTTTCATGATATTAAAAACACAATATTAATGATATTCTTCTTAAAGGATTGTGCTAAACTACTACTCTTTCAGCATTATAATGAGATGATTAAGCTTCTTTCCTTAATACAACTACCATAAAGTGACCCTTTTTTATTTTAATTAAACAAGATAAACTGAATTCAGTAGCTGAAAACACATTCATCACAAGAGCTGCAAGTAATTCAACAAGAGCATTACATCTTTGTGAGCATAAGTGTGTATTTCTGTGCATATATAGTCTTACTCCTGGAAGCGTTCTAACACATGCACACACACACACACACACACACACACCTTTCCAGTCTGTACAGTGTGTAAGTTGAGCTAAAGGCAGTTCAGCACCGCTCCCCTCCTGCAATGAAATTCCAACAAATTCTCAAATTGCAGCCAAATTGAAAGCACATTGGTGAGTGGGCGGCAATCGCTAATAAAATCTGAATAACTGACCAACTGCGAAGTCAAAACAAAACCTCCTACAGATATCATCACCATTGAGCTTCAGCATCACCAAACACACCAGCGAACATATTCACCAGCTCTGCGTCTTCGGCTGGTTATGATGCGCGCGCGTGTGTGTGTGTGTGTGTATGAGTCAGCGTTTGCCTGCAGTTTGACCAGAGGCGGTGCCCGTCCCTGCCCTGCTCCGCTGTGTATAGACTTAATAACACACAGGAATGCTAATCAGACTCTCCACAGCATCTACATATGTGTATGAAACGATTACACTGCGGACTGACACATTCGCGGACAGCGGGGACCGGAAACACGCAGCAGGCCGAGGGAAGCAGGGTGTGTGTGTGCGTGTGTTTGCGGATCCAGACCGAGTGTGTGAGCAGAACCAGAGGGCTTTATTGTGGAGGGCTGTGATTGTGTTTGTTTGTGTTACAAGAGGAAAATGATCATCTTTGGTTTCTAACCCCGAGCCCCGGGGCTCAAGAGAAAGTTAAACATATGGTCCTACATACATGTACACACATTCCTACATGTAAACTACATAACACATGGTCCTCTTAAAGGGATAGTTCACCCAAAAATGTACTATATTTTGAAGAATGTGTCAACTCTTAATGTTAAAAGACTGTAAAAATGATTTATGTTAATTGGTGAACAGTAAGTTGCCTTACTATATACGGTGACAAGTGAGACATACTGTTAAATAAACAGTTTTTGGAAGTGAAAAAGAACAAGTCATCGTATAATTACAGTTATATCTTTACAGTGAACACAAACACAAATTGACATACATTTTCTATGTATTTTTACAGTAAAGCAGCCACAACCTCCTTTTTATTTTTTACCATGAATATCAGATTATGTTTTCAATATCAGAAGAGTTTTTATTGTTCTTCTCTGGAACACAAAAGGAATATTTTTGAGGGGATACTATATTGCTTTGGACCATATTGTTGTGGACCACTGACATCAATCGTATTTCAAAATATCTCCTTTTGTGTAAAAAAAAAAAAAAATGTTTGGAATGAAATGAGGGTGAGTAAATGATGACAGAATTTTAAATTTGGGGGATGAACTAACCCTTATAAAGTCACAAACAGGTAAAAGGAACTCAAATATCTTTTGGCAGAGAGCGAGTAGCCTCTGGTAGATGGGACAAGACCATCTCTCTTCTTATTATTTGATTTTCACTCGGGACGCCTTCCAAGGCAATACAAATGGTGGAGTGGAGGATTACGAACTTTTTCTTCTGTTTCCAAAACACACAGGCTAAATCAAAGAAAGAGCAGAAGGCAGATCCACAATGCCCGGCGCGTAAGCTCTGGCTCAGTCCCGAGGCAATCGTCCCTAATGAAAACTAAAAAACCCAGTTCTCTTAAAAAAAAACTAAAAAACAACACCTGACAGCTCACAGACAGGCCGAGCTCTGCCCTACAACTCACAATGGCTCTCTGTTAAACTGCGAGTCTGTATGCAGGCCCACAGCCTGGCCACCGGCACAAAACCGTTGACACCCACGGAATAAAGTTCCCATTACCTCACAGCAGAATCCATCACTGTTTTTTAAGGAGGACCGTTTTTAAGCACTCGGCCCTGTTGGGACTCCACCCACCTCAAGGCGAGCTGCTGTCATAATGTTTGGACGGGCCAGCTGCTCTCACCATCCCAGCAAACTGCATCTAAACGCGACCCTTCAGAGAACGCGTAGCTTCTGTTTACCGATGTAGTTCTCGTGCAAACAAAGCGACGATCCACGCACAGATGCGGCGTATCCTCCCGACATCTCACTTATAGATGGCACTGGAGTATTCAAGTGGATGAGTGGACTTAGTTTTCGCCAAAGCCATGGGATTCTTGCCAAAAAAACGAAGGGAAATAACATAAGAAATCCCTTGGAAGAGAAATGGGGCAAGATGCCTCTGTTGTAAATTAGGGATAAACTTTCCCGTGCAACAGTGTGCCTGCATGGGCCTCGTTTCCTGAGGCCATGCACCTGGGCTTCATCTCTCCAAGTCTGAGGCCCAAAGCACTCAGGGGGAGATGCTCGGGATGGGATGCTTGCTGAAATTCATAATCATAGCGACTCTGCCAAACCAAATGCGTCCAGTAAAAGTCAAGCAGGTGGAGCGAGACAGGAGCTCTCCCTACTGAAACGCTCATGTGGAATAATGTGCAAACTATCTTATAAAATATTGTTGTAAACTTGATCTCAGTGTGGTTCGAGTGACTGTGCCACGGCGTGGCAAAAACAATGATAGCAACCATGTGGAATAAACTAGACCACTTTGGCTCCATCTCTCGCATGGATGGTCATGCATTAAACAGTTACAATTACTTCCAAAATTTTTACTGTTGTGGTACAATTAATACAAGCTTTTCGAACTAGTTAGGAAACAATTTATTGGTCAGTTGCTTGGCACTTCATAAATAGTCATAAACAAAATATAAACACTGCAAAGGCTTTGGAGGGATGTTCAGTGACGTTGAAATTAAGCTGGTTTTGTTTTGAAGTCATTAATGCAATCTGTTATCAAAGATAGTCACACCATTTCAACTAGTGTGAGATTAGTTATTCATCTGTGTCTTATCATACACTCAGAGAAAAGTACAAAAGCGGTCACTGGGGCAGTGTTCTTTCAAAAGGTACAGTTTTGTTCCCTATTTACCCCTAAAGGTGCATATTAGTACCTTCAAGGTACATGTCAGGGGCACTGGAGGAACATTCGGCGGAAGTACCTGCTTTTTTGGGACGCAGGAACTCGGATCGATTTAAGGAACAGCTTTTTTAGGAAGTGTACGATGATTGGCCTGAACGCATGCGCACCCACCATTTTTAAAAACTAGTGTAAACACAGTTTATAGGCTACGGTATACATTTACTCCACACACAAAACAGCGATAGATGGGCCGATGTCGAAGTCCAGGCACTTCTCAACCTTTACCCTACGGAGGAACTGCAACGCAACTTTGAAGGGACCAAGCGAAACATGATTATGTATTTCTGCTCAGCTAGCGCCATCGGTCATCAACCACACGGCAAACGCTACAATATTTTATCCGTATACCGTTTACTTTCTTTGTTTAACAGTTCTATCCAATAGCATATTAGACAGGACTGTTAAAAATATCGTAAACTAATGAAGACGGAGAATGGGAGCATTGTGTGCTCTAGTGATCTCAGCGCCGTCAAAATAAAAGTCCCGCACAACAACAAGGGCTGCGTTTTCCAAAAGCATCGAGAGCATTGATCGTAGAGACCATTAGTGGCAATTGTTCTACGATCAACTTAGGCTTATGCTATTTTACGTCACTTCAGAGTTCCTACTGTCAGTGTGAATGCAACCAGGAAAATGGCACTAGGGGAACATTTAGTTCTCGGGCGAACGCCCTAGTGGTTAGTTCCCATAACTAGTACAAAATCCCCTATTATTACCTAAAGTGTTCATATTACACTCTAAACAATGCTGGGTTGTTTTAACCCAAAATTGGGTCAAATATGGACAAACCCAAATGTTGGGTTCAAAAAGGAATTTTAAATTTTAACCCAACTTCAACTTTCACCTGTAAATGTTTTAAATGAAGTTCCTAAACGTAAGTTAGGGAGGAGCGAGCCCATCCAATCTTTCAATCAACAAACAGAGTATATAAGCAGCCGCTTACCTCTCCCTAGTATCAGCTGTTCCAGTATCCCTCCACCTCCCCAAACTCCACCTTCATCTTAGGTACCTTGCCCTTTAATTAACAGGTCCTACATTTAGCCACTGGGGGGTATATCAGAGCTCGAGTTGAAGCTGCTTCATCGAGCCCCTCTCCAGCGGACAGCAAGCCAAATAAGTTTAACCTAATATCTTAAAGATTTTATGGGCAAACGAACTCGTTAATTACATTTTTAACCCAACATTTGGGTTTGTCCATATTTGACCCAAATTTGGGTTGAAACAACCCAGCATTTTTTAGAGTGTAGTACCTTTTGAAATGGTACAACCATTTTTTTTTCTGACAAAAATATTATAATATTGTGGTTGAGATATGTTGCAATATACAGTATATTGACGTCATAAAGCAATCCATAGAATAAAACAAGTTGACACATATGTAGGCACAAACCCAGTAAGAGAAATGCAGCAAAAGTGAAAGACCCAAACTATCCAATCTCAATCGAATACAATAAATCGGGTGGACTTACTTTCCCTGAGGTAATTGAGATGTGAGAGCAGGACCTCCGTGTTATAAACGCTGGTAAGTCTCAGGAAGTCCTCTTTACTCATCTTGCAAAGCTCTTTTCCATCGGTGTTGTGGAACATGGCTGTGTCGATCTCCTGAAGACCATACTCTTTAATGGCCCAGTCTAACCATTGCCGCACATGGTCTGGAGACCAGAGAGAAGGGTCTGAGATGGCAAAACACAAAATAAAGCCACACATTAGCTGAAGACTCAAGGTTTAGATATAGCTTACAAGCAGCGTTCATTGGTTTAAGTGTGAAAAGACAGTAACTGTTTTAAAGTGAGTACTAAAGCAGAGAACAGATCTTTTACTGTCTTGTTGTACTGAAACATTTTCAGATAAACTAAGTAATAATTTCTGCAACATTAGTGGCACCAAACAGAAATGCAAAAGTTATGACTCCAATAAACAACCAAAGGTCATGCATCATTATCTTATTTTCTCCAGATATAACAATCATTGGGATTATGAGGAAAATCAATCACAATCTCAAGAAACCAAGAACATAATAATAATAATAATAATAATAATAATAATGCATGGCCACTGCTGGCTTCCTTATGTTTGGAAACATAACTTCAGTTTGGTGCAGCTTACACACCTTTAATAGAACTGAACATTTGATATTCAACTATTTTATTTTAATATCTTTTTGGTATTAACGTTGTACCCCTGATGTAGCATTCAATATGTTATGGATTTATGTTGACTAGGGGTGTAACAATATATCATGTCTTGCAATACAAAAATTGCAACAATATGTATCGTGGAAAGAGACAATATGTATTGTGTATAGTTCACTCATAATACTTACTGTGTGAGGAATAACATTTAATATAAAGCATAATAATGCAATGGGGGAATATTTGTGGGTCTTGATAATGCCAAATGTCTTATGCTACCAGTAAAAAGTGTCCTACATTATTTTAAATAGATCTAGTCAGTGACAGAGTGCAAGCGTTATTTTATTCGTCTAAAATAATTCTGTATTTTCAGCTTCAGAATCATGATTTTTTTTTTATTCTGGTGTCTCTGTTGTCCTGTGCATTGGGTTTCCAGCACCAAGTCAAATTATATCCATATCAAATTTGGCATTTTAATCAAGAGTACATTTTTTGTTAACCTTTTATAATAAGTCTTGGAGTCTCGCAATAATATCATATCGTGAGTTCAGTATGGTGATATGTATCGAATCGTGACATGAGGGTATCGGTACACCCCTAATGTTGACGAACAATGAATACCTGCTGGGACGATAACTCTCCTCTCATTGGTTGTCATGTTTGGAGGCGGAGCACACTTCTCATCCATGTAGCCAGTATAGTTCATCTGAGATGTGTCGGTCCCACCCACCATTTTATTGCATTTGCCCACACTACAGTCCACCGGGGACTCTCTGCCAGGGAGAGAGAGAGAGAGAGAGAGAAAGGTTATTGCTTACTAATGCTTATCTCAGACAGAACAACAGAATAATGGTCTTAACAAATGAGGAGGTACCTGGATCCATTGATGTGGTCATATTCTCGTTTGACATTAACTCGCACCGGCTGGCTGATCCACTCCTGCTGAGGAGGAATAGGGTTGATCTTGTGTGTCTGAGCGTAATCCTGTGTGCCGGACGCAGTCATGTCCGTCTTGGGTAAAGGAGCAGCAGAAGCGTATGGAGGCTCAAACAGAGACTGGTCTTCACTCACCACTGACAGCGCCTCCTGGAGGATTGTAGAGCGCAAGCTACATCACTGTTTCTCATTAAAGCACATGACAAATGACTTTCAGTTCATCGTGTGTAATCAAGGCAACACACATTTCTAAATTGTTGCTCGCTGAAGGGCATTAGAACCACAGATGCGGAGCGCAAAGGAAGCAGTGCAATTGATTGCTTTCATATATTTAATATGTGAAGTCAACATGAAACGCAGGTGTACTTTATTTGACATAAATGTGAAACGGATATTCAATACAAAAAAACGAAATAAAAAAGGACCACTGGGCATTGATGGGATTGTGAAGAGTAGGTGTTGGAAGGGGAGGAGTTAAAAAAAGAGGGATTTGTGATGTCATGTGTCAGAGATGGAGAAATTTATTCTGTTTTGATCAATTTTTTTTTTCTTGGAATAATGTGCACCAATGAATTGTGGACACTAAAATTGGGAATTTGCATTGGAAAAGTAAACAAGGTCGCACATTTTGATTTCATGTTGACTTCACAGTTTTATGTATCAGGTGCATAGAAACAACAATAATAATAATAATAATAATAATAATAAAATTCAGCCATTTACTTCAGAGTTATTATTGGGGGAAAATAAACACAACCGTACAACTTAACATTGACTTTTAAACCTTTTGTTTCCGAGAAGAATTTTAAAATGTGACTTTCAATAAGCCAAAGATTTCTGGTTCATGACTCATATGAGAGACGGAACAGAGGCAAGGTCACTTCTACATTTGCTCTTGTTGCAGGCGCTCAGCTGGGGTGATGTAGTTTTATTAAAGAAAACAAACGCGGCAGACAGGCTCCTCCGGAGAGATCCGCGTCTACACGTGCATGTGATCGTCTCCATTCACTTCTCACTCAAAGCTTTCTTTCGGTTTCATGAAGACTATCTCCAATCAGTCGCCTAGATTTCCCTCTTATTTCAGTTACAAACACCTGTAAAACTTTATACTCAATAAATGTGAAAATTCACCATTAAAAAAATATGCACATAGACTTTGAGGGTGATTTTGGAGATTAAGGCTTTGATACTGTTCGATAACAAAAGAATGCTTCCTCTTTGGCATTTTTTAATCGAAACATACACACCATTAAGCATCCAAATGCATGCATTTCACAATTAACCATTCCGTCTCTGGCTAAGGGGATCTTGGGACACTCCATCAGCAGTTATTAATTTTCCCTATTGGGTTTTTTCGAACTTTGCTGACAGTCGTCATCAATTTGATCAGTGTCCCGCGGACAGTATCGGGGCGACCCACAGCAGCAGGCCGGTGGCATGATAAGTATGGCAGAGTTAAGGAATGCCTTCATGCTGCCAGATAAGGCCAGAGCTGCTATTATGACTGTTACACGTTACTTACACGCAGACATATCAGCCTCCACCATATAATTCATGATTGGCAGTCAGTCTTTCCCAAGATTACAGAGGGCTGTAAAAATAGGAAAATCTAATTCCACACTCACGCTCGTACATACGGGCCTGTCAAAAGGCGAAATTCCTTCATCTCTGTGAAATCGAGTGCTAAGCAATGGTCAGCGCACAAGTGCAGCTTCTTCTTACAATGAGGTTAAAATACTCGCAAAGGTGCCAATTTCCTTGAGCTATAAATTGGCCGTGTCTGCATGGCTCGCTTAAACCATGCAGAACCACAGGGTTACACTGGTTCGGTGTTGGAGATTTACACTGAGCCATATTAGAAATGCCATACCGTATATTAGAAATGATCTCTAGAAAAAGCTATTTTGAACATTTGCATGTGAGAAATTGAATAGCCACGATCATCATCGCTTGTCCCACAGAAGACGAGTCATGATGTCGGGATGTACAGACACATTAAAAGCACAGTGCTATTTTATACAGAGGCCATTCCTGTCTTTTGTTTAAGGAGGAAAAGGAAACCTGACAGGAAACCAGATTGTGTGGGACAGGAAACACCCATGGATTGAGACACCCTCCTCATTGTCGACTAAAGTGAACAGTTAAAAATCAATCAAGAGAGCTATCCGAGTCAAACTCCAAAGGACTAACACACACATTCATGATACAGAAGATGCAATTATAAAAATGAATAATTGATGACGACATTTCAAGATAATTACGAGTCACACATTATATTAGTTGTATTTTATACACTATGTACTTCATTTAAAGTCAAAAGTTTAGGTTTAGTGTTTTATATATATATATATATTGTTCATGCAATGATTTGACACTGAACACGAGTATGGCTGATGAAAATTCTGCTCTGCATCAGAGAAATATATTCTATTTTGAAGTATATTACAAGTATATTACAAGCATTTTTTAATGTTTAATGTTTAATGTATCTATATTACAAAGTATATTGCAAGTATATTACACGTATTTTTAATGTTTAATATAATGTTTAATGTATATATGAGGGTTGCTCATGCAATGATTTGACGCACCGAACACTGGAGTATGGCTGATAAAATTCAGCTCTACATCAGAGACATAAATTATATTTTAAAGTATATTACAAGAAAAAAATAAATATTTTAAATCAATAATATTTTACAATATTACTATTTTTCTGTATTCTTGATCTTGATGAGCATAAGAGACTTCTTTCAAAAACATTAAAAATAGTAATGTTTCCAGCTTTTGAACAGTGCAATATATATAACTTACATAAGATTAGTGTTCATCAGAATATATTAGTATATTATTTAAACTGAGTTATGATTTATTCAAATTAAACTTATTTCCAAAGATACATAGCTACAATAGTAAAGAATAGAAATGAATTATATGTTGGAATTGTTATAATACTAATACTTCTACTAATAATATGCTATATTAACAAGTAATGCCAACCATTATCATACAATAACTTCTTTTCTCAATGCTATACAACTTGCAACAATAATTTTATGCCCTTTGAACTATAAGGCTTCATTAAAATCATCATCCATGTGTCCTCAGTCACCCCACTGCAATCGAAACAGTCTATTTAACATGATACAATCTAAAACAAGCATAATGTGTACGGCCCCAAACATATACCACACCCAAAACCACTTATATGACCGCAAAAAAAGGAGTGTTTGAATGTGCAGCCCTCCCCTCCAGACAAGAGTCAACAATTAATCAGTGATCATTACCTTATTTGATGCTCGTAACATTTTAATTCAAATATTGATAGTTGTTTTTAATCAGAGATTGAATATGAGGATTACCTATTTAAATATATATATATATAAATATAAAACTCCATGCTAGATTACTCTAAATATCGAAATGCACAGATCAGCGGCGTGGACCACACATAACTTATTCTTCTAAATAGAGCGCAAGTTTTGTTGTTGTTGTTTTACTCTGTGGACTGTAGTCGTTGTGTACGCACAACCCATTCAAGAGCACACTATAGCAATTATTATCAGTTATCAGAAGAAGGGAAAGAACGTGGAGTGATATTTTACTGTGGGTGGGCTCGGCTTTTGAACTATATGAATGGTTGGAAAACCTCGGCACGGTGCCACTCCAATTGCGCAGCCACATCTCCAGCCTAAAGCTTTATGATTTATATAAACCACTGCACTGCATTCACACACAGACACACACACACACGCGCGCGCGCGCGCCACGATATACTGAAAACTCAAAGCAGCCTCGTCGAGCACCGGACGTTCGCTATTCTAATCTTTAAAACGAAACTTTTTCCTTTCTTGGCGAAACATCTTTACTCCATCACAAACAGCCCGTGCGTTTTCACGAGCGTCCAAGAGCGCGCGTCGAGTCCGTCTGAACGCTCGTATCCTCCGCTACAGTTTTCAACTTTCAACAAAGTTTCGACGAAAAGGAAAAGGAAACTTGGAGAGAGAGAGGGAGAGAGAGAGAGAGAGAGAGAGAGAGAGAGAGAAGAGGAAAAGCGCAACTCGGAGCGGCTGAAAAGTCCCAGACTACAAGCTCTCAAACTCTGTCCATCTCAGAAAGATCCCTCTCCTCCGCTCTTACCTTAATAGTTCCGTCCATTTTGCGCAATTTTCAGTGGAGCCCGACAATATTCCAAACATGACACGCGTCTGAATTAATTCCAGCCCCGATATGTGGCGGAGAGACAGAGACAGTTTCGCCGGATGGTTTTTTTCCTCTAAATTTGGGAAGTGAAGTCACTGCGCTTGAGAAGGAAGCCGTGCGTGCGTGCGTGTGTGTGTGTGTGTGTGTGTGTGTGTGTGTCACTGGCCCTGCCTTCATTACGGCACCCAAAGCAGGATATTTGTCCCGAGAAGATAAGACACCAAAACAATAGTGTTTCTTTCCTCTGTACATGTTTTTGCCTGGAAATATTTACAGAATGCATGCCAGCTCTTCACATTTGTTGCGCTTTTTCCAACATTAAAATAGACATAGATTTGTTAGAATCACTGTGTGTTAAACATAATAATTAATAATAAAACTCTAAAAAAGAAAAAAAAGACAAAGAATAAGTGGAGAGAAAAATATTATAATAAAATAATAACTTTATAAATCGTTTGAATGCAGATGGTTATTGTCATACAGGTTTGTTGAAATCGAATTCATAACGGGATGATATTATGATCGCTATTCCGCTATAAACGAAAACGCGAGTTGGATGTACCCATGTGAAGTGAAGAATGTGACGAGCCTGTCCGAACTTCTTTCGCTGCTAATATGGGTTTCCATTAATAAAAGCGAAGCCCGCAGCGTCGAGTCTGTCTGCTCCACACGTGTGCGCGCTTCTGAATGCACACGCATAGCATTTCTCCAGAAACACTGGCTGTATATGGATCATATAGAGAGGCTGATACCTCTCGAGTGCTTGCTGTTCAACAATTCTCCAAATCAATAGCACATGGCCTCACTTTTTTCTTTCTTTCATGTCTTCATGTGCAATGAGGGGAACAGTCTCTATTCTAGACAATATTTCTACAGTAAATATTTACTTTCGTTCTGGAAAAAGATTGAAATACACATTATTTATCACGATTTAAACCGATTTTGCAGTGTAGTGTCAATAATTCTATTTTGAATAAATATTACACTCTAAAAAAAATGCTGGGTTGTTTCAACCCATGTTTAGGTCAAATATAGACAAACCCCAAAGGTTGGGTTTACAATTTTAAATAAAATAAAATAAATAAATAAACCAACCGTTGGGTTTACCAGATTAAAACATTAAAACCAAAACCTTTGGGTTTAAAAATGTAAAAAGTTTAAACCAACCGTTGGGTTAAACAGTTTTAAAAAGTTTAAACTAACAGTCGGGTTTTAAAATGTTTAACTTTTTAAACCAACCGTTGGGTTTAAAAAATAAAATAAAAAGTTTAAACCAACAGTTGGGTTAAAAAAAAGTAAACCAACGGTTGGGGTTGTCCATATGTGACCCAAACATGTTAAAACAGCCCAGCGTTCTTTTTTTTTTTTTTGTATTTACCAATCTCTCTAAATGCGAGTGTATCTCCACCCCTACGATTTTTTTTTTTTAAAGGTGAGCTGCATTACCGAGCGCAAGACGCGCAGCCAGACCCCCGGATCCTGAGACCCCCTGACCGAGAGGGCCAAGCCTCGGGGAGCGAGACTGAGTCTGCGCCGGCTGACTTACGCTGTTTGCGACATGGGGGTCTGGGAGGGGGAGGGGGAGGCCCCCTCGAGAGCTCCACATCTGGATCCTGCTAGGGGTCAAGGCTTCTCCTGCCTGAGGCCTGCGCAGTAATTAACGGAGACACCTTGTTTAACCATTTCGAGTCCGTGCCTCTCTCGTGCACAAAACAACCCTGATTTTTCTTTTATTCAAATAAACGGTGTTGGCATATATTTATCAATTTCTGTGTTCTGCATTCCTAATTGAGTGGGGAATATAAGACAAGTAGAGGGATCTGACAAAGCAGAAGGAGAGGAATTGGGTTTTAGTCGGAACTAATCTTACATTAGGCTACTTATGGTTGAGTAATGCAGATGTGGATCATCATATCAGGTTTTGCGACATGTATGCGTGTTGCAGTGGAAGGGTGGGCATCATTTTCACAGAGCGTGGGACTTGATAGCTGAAACATATGTTTCCCTAGAGGGGCCGCTTAGACTCCACAATTCTTTTAATTAAAACACCATTATCTCTGAGCGCATGACGAGACTGAGATCTGGCGGAGAGGGGTCACTAATGACAGTATAATTATGTTTTATGGTCTCTATTTCGATTGTTATAAATGAGACGTCTCTTTACTCGAAGCTAAGATAAATAGTGAACACAGTCGTTTCATTCACAGTCCTTTCAAGCAAACATTTTGTCGATCTTTTGATGACGACAGTCTTATCTTCCTCTAGAAATCCACAATTTAGGTATCATCTTCTTGTCTAAACCATGTTTCTTTCCAGATACAGTGTGTTTTCAACTTTCAAGATGTAATGATAACAAGTCCAAAATAAATAATTTTTTTATTTATGGAGCAAACATATCTAAGAGGTGCATCATTAAACCTAAAAAAAGAAAGAAAACCAGTCTCTTTTCCCGCGTGGCACTTGCCCAGGTCATTATGAGTCCAGCGGTAACAAACATTTTGGAAGGCCAATAAACAAATGCATGTTGGTTTATGTAGTGAGCCACAGAACATCTGGCTCGACGCTGGAGCTTGACAGCCAGGCATTTCTCCCAACCACGACCTGTGGGAAGCCAGTGGCCCAACGCTACTGGAAAAACCCTGAAGTGCCTGAGTAAGACTAACCCAAAGTGAGGCCAGAGGCTTCCTCTGGTGGTAAATGGACTTTCGACCATACAATTACATAACTAAAGGTTGATCTACAAGTAGCCAATATACCTTATCTATCTATCTTACGATTTTAGACAAATATTCGAAACACATTACCGGTAATCGCATGGTGCTTCTCAGGTTGCGCGAGACCGTCACGAGCTGACACGCACATCGAAAAAATAGAGACTGCAGCACACAACACCAAACTGTCTGGCCTCCTGCTCCGGGCCATAATTAATTTGAGATTTATTTTTATTGGAAAGCTCCAGTCTCGCCCGGCCTTAACCAAACAAAAACCTTAACTCATGGCTTCGCCTGAATGAGGCTGAATATTTCTCTGAAACTTGCCTTTCTTGAGGCGTGCTGAGGTAAATCCATTTCCCGCTGAAATTCTGCCCGGCAGCAACAACATTCAAATATGATATCTGGCGGACTGTGATGACGCGTTTTAACGGTCATAAATCATAAATCCTGCAACGTTTTATATATGTTTTTTAAATGTATGTACCCTACATTTATAACACTACTTTGTATTATATTACCTTTGTGTCAAATGACAAAAAATCCCCCCCAGAAACTAGTGAATGCTGCTGTGAGGTTGCTCTTTTTGAAAGTTATGAAAAGTTTTTATTTTGCTATTTGAGCAAATGGGAACACTTTTTATGTAGTCTCTCATTCACCGCTATACAAGTTTACCCAACTATGACTTCCGCTTCTGAGAAACCCGGAAATGTGAAAAGGAAAGGGGTCACTTCTGGAACACATTTGTTAAATATTTCTAAATTTTGACCAAAACAAAAACTTAGTTTTGGTTTTGGGAGAAGACTGTCTTATAACACAGACACTTGTTTACTTGTTTAAAAATAAGAATACATGCAAAATGAAAAAAATAACAAACATAAAATAATAATAATAATAATAATCTTCTCAAAGACTCTTTCTATTGCTTCGTTTTATTGTTGTTTGTATGCAGCCCGACTCCAATGCCATGCAGTGTACTATTTATTATTCAGTCTGTGGAGAGAAAGCTGGATTTCAAAGAGAAGGTTTTCCCTCAACATTCCTGCGCTGCTAATGTCTCGAAACAAATCGAGGACTGTTCGTGGGACTGTGAAACGCAGCCCCTCTGTGGAGGAACACAAACTATAGCGTCTGCATGAAAAGCTCCCTTATGCAGGGGGGCAATAAGTCTCCATAACATAACAACTCGGCTCTGGAAAGTATGCTGATTGTAAAGATATAATGAATGACTTTAGCAGGCACAATACTTCATTTTCATGGCTCTGTCTGTATGCTGTGCACTAAGCCTTCTGATACATTAAAGTTATTGCTGTGGCACTTTGCCATAAATAACCATCAAAATATGCAAATTTCATCCTTTAAAAAATGAACAGTGATACTAATACCTTTCATAGAGAGGTATTTAACCATGTTTGCATCAGAAAGAGCGCAATTCAGTAGAAGTGGTATCCTCAATGTCAGTCTGAATGTGTTCAGTGGCTTCTACAGTGGACTCGAACCCATCAGAGATTCCTTAAACAGCTCGAGTTTGAATTCTAAATGGAAACTTCCCTGGTTGGTCGTTCATGCAAAAACAGATGTCTGCCATTTGCAATGTTTACATTCTTTAAAAGCATGTAGAGAGAGGAAAAAAGGGCACCATGTCAAATGCAATAATGTACAATATAAGTAACATTTGTGAAGGTCAAAGATGGCCTGTCCCTTCATTCAATGTTCAGATCAAGCTAGAGAGATGTGTAGTAAACAAACGAACCCAGTCGTCAAACTAAACATTCATTTTACGGCAAATATGACGAGAGGCGAATCTGCGTTTTTACAAACCATTTACGTCAGTCATCATCATCACCATGTAACTCGTAAGAGGAAAAAGGCAATTTAGAAGTTCCAGTCTGTTTCCTCCAACATTACCTGCTCGTAGTGACGATGTTGTCTTACCTTGACGTAAGACGAAGTGTCGGGGACGGTCTGAAACATTTTCATTGGACAGAGAGCCCGGAAATGTGTGATGTTCACTTCACGGCCCCTTCAAAAAACAAGTCCACATGTCATCTTAGGGGAAACTAGAGTCTACAAAAAATCTATAATAATAATAATAATTAGACAAAAAGCCATATTTGTTCCTTAATTCTGACTTAATTCTGATCCCCACCCCAAGAAAAGTGTCTTAACTTCTAAAAATTTACTTGATTCTAGTCTACTGAAATTCATTCATTATAGTCATTCATTAATTCCTATCTCACAAATCTGGACACAAATATTTCATTTATTGAATTTTTGACGAATTCTCCTCCACGAACAGCTAAGCCATTTCCTCTCAATATTGATTTGCGTCTCAGATTCTAAGAAATACATTTCTTCATCCACTACAGAGATGTTTTCATAGATAAAACTCATGTATCTGCATTTTCTGTATACCTGCATTGGATATTTATGGTCAAATCGTTTGCAACGCAGCAGTTATTGTGTATATTTGGGCACCTTGCTTTCCAGCCCGTAAAACCACATCCAGCCAATCTAAACAGAGAGGTCAGATCTGGTTCATGAGCTTATGAGAGGCAAGACCGGAGCACAGTGAAACAGAGCTGCATTTATTCCTTTAAGAATTGTAGCTTTTACCTTTCATCCCTCCAGAGGTTCAATTTTTATTTTTTTATTTTTTTATTAACCTCATACGCCTCTGTTTCATGAAGTATGGCTAAGGTGTCAGTGAAGCCATCATTAATAATAATAATAATAATAATAATAATGAATTAATTTTTGCATGTTATGATTATATAAACAATGTATCCGTTTAATGCTTTTTCTTTTCTTTCCCGTTCTTCTTTCGTTTTTGGATATGTTTCTATATGTGCTATATGAGATAAGTCAATTAGTGCAGTACAGGCCCAGCCCCTTCACTTCCAGAGCAGACACATATTGAAACACTTTTCGTTTTAATAAGTGTAGCTTACAGAGTCTGGGGTGAAAGGGCACCTCGGGGACGGTGTCTTTTGCCTTTCCCTCGGCGTGCAATTACAGAGCAGACTGGCACTAGAATTATTCAACATTCCTCAGCAGTTCAGCAACACAATCAAAATACCCGATGGCCATATCAGAACACAAGAGAAATAGGCAAACGCACACTTTTGACACATCAAATTGACACACATAAAGAGTATTTATCCTTCTTTAGAGGCTATACTTATTTAATGGTGATTTTGTTTGATGAATAGCATGGTGATGAGTTGCATCGGTAGCCTATAATAATAAATAGGCTACAACTTTTTTTTGGTTTGTCGAGTGTTTAGGTTTTATAGCAAAACAGAGGAAGGCCTTTCTTGATAACCAGGTCAGATTTCCCGAACCATCAGTGTAAAAAACAGTATTTTATATTCATTCATTGCGTAGTATAGGCTAATATCAGCTTTGTTTCAATCCACTAAACTTATTAAAGTCATTTCTGTATTTCTATTTTTCAGTGCGTCAACGCGGCTTTCTTCATCAATCGTAATTTAAAGTAATTTAAATGTACGACTGCAGGTTGTCATTTTGTGTTTACGAAAAAAAAAAATGCAAGCGAAAATTCACCTTGTGTTTTCAGTTCTAGTTGTAATTTCATATTGAACTTGACTACTGAAACAACATTTCTTTGAAATCAATTTGTGCATAAAGCATCATACGTGTTTACACACTTTACAGATCGAATAATGCAACAATAAACGAAATATGCAACACGCCAATTATGAAAATTAAAATGCATTCGTCAGTTGCCTGTCATCGCGATAAGGAACGAGATGTTGACATTTCGATACCTGAACATACTGACCGTAATGAATAAATCAGGAGTCTTATAATTCGCTCGATTTATATTCGCAGCGTCAGACCCCGGGCTCCTGCGGGCGAGGGCTGGGCTCGCCTCATAAACTTTCCCAAATGCATCCAATTTCTAAACGGTAAAAGAGCATAGAATTCCGCATCTGTGGCCAATTAAATGACTGGAGGCTCAACAGGACTGTTAAGTAACTGCATCGTCTCTCCTCCGAAGAGCGTCTAGTGTTGCATTTGAAGCGTGTGCGTGTTATCAATCAAATAGCTTTTCCCTCGACTGTCAACACATTGGGACAGAGCAAAGAAGCGACATAACAAAATGCACAAGGAATTCAAAATAAAAAGTAGCTCCACGTGCATGTGTTTTTATTCAAGACCATTGCAGAGCGACTGAACTACTAAAACAGAAAGAACACATGCTCAGCTTCTGAACCTCACACACCGTACACAAACTCACCTGTCTGGTCTTTGTCTCTCGGTAACTTTGAACTCGTTTCCAGTCTTAAATAATTAGTCCCGTCTATGAGAAAGTGATTGTCATGGATAAGTGTGAGTAATGCTGAGGAGGAGAGGAGGGATGTATGAATGGGGAAAGAGAGATGAGAGAGAGGCGGCTGGCTGACCAATGAGAACGCGCGAGCTCACCCCTGCACATCCACTGAACCGTGAAATAAGGGAAATCTGACTGAAATGAGCACAAGACCATAAAAGAGAAGGAGAGAGAGAGGGGGGAAATCGTGAAGCTTACTTGAGGACATCCGAATATCTTCTGCAGACACTATATTAACATTTAAAAACATTCAAAGTTTTCAAATGTCATTCATTCGATACATTTGCTGATTTTGTTACGGAGCCCCTAAAGGGACACGGTGAAAGAAAAAACATGAGATGGAGGGAAAAAAAAATTGTTAATAGAGTACTTTTTAGTTCCCTTGCAAATGTTTTGCTTTCCCCGAGAAACTTGAGCTCAAAAGTTTTTGCAAGGGAACGCAAAGTTTCACGGGGAACGCAAAACATTCGTGAAAGAACGCAATAGCATTGACTTATTATTTTTCCCCATCTCATATTTATTTCCCGCACCACAATGTTCCTTTAGGGGCTCAGTACTATTTCTTTCACACCATTTGAAAAACTAATAAATAAAAAAAATGTCTCTGTTTGTGCTTCGTGATATTTTTTACAAGAAAAAATCCATTTAAAATAATAAATAGCATTTATGTTTTGGCTAATGATTTAGTTTATTTAGTATATCATGTCCCATCCACGCGTCGCCCGTGAGCGTCTCTTTCCTGTTTGGTTGACCCTGTTCACTTCACTAACTCCATTTCCTCCACCAGAAAACTCCTTCAAAGAACCAGCGGCAGGTTTACAGTGGGCAGATCTGCTGATGCGTGACGTTTGGATATCAGCAGGGAACCAAACACTTAATATACACTCCTCGTTGATCTGACCTGAAGGCGGTTCTCACATCAGGCCTGACAGTTTTTAAGCTTGATGACACTTATCATCCTTACAAGGGTTAGATATCAGCATATATAGGCTACTGGGTATTTTACAAATTAACAACACTTAATATGTAGCCAAATCATATTGTGGAGTTGCTTGTGATTGTACAAATGGTTACACTTTATTTGGTTATACACTATTTTAAGATGTCATTACAGTGTAATTATAAGTACTGGGTAATATTAATTAGCATTAACTATAGGGTTAGGGTTTGGTTGAGGAGGGTTAGTTGCATCTAATTGTGCATAATTTGCTGTTATTATATGGTAAGTACATGTAACAAGGACACTAAATAAAGTGTTACCCTTTATTTTAAGGTGACGTTGTTACATTATACAAGTAATATTAATTTACTACATGTACTTACTTAACCCTAATAGGGATAGGGTCTGGTTTAGGGTTAGTTATGCACAATTTATTGTTAGTAAGTAAATGTAGTAACATGTATGTCACCTTAAAATAAAGTGTTACCATACAAATTGCTTGCTTTTGTAAACAATTATTACACAATGTAAAATGTATTGCATAAGGATTATATGTGTTGTTTCTAAAGGATTTTTGTAATAATTTAGTTTGAGCTCATGGTCCCAAAACTAGATTGTTATACAAATGTGACAACTAATAATAAAATAGTATTGAAAAAATAAAATGTTCCCATGTGTCTAAATTTACCTGACTGATTTAGGTAAACCCGTAAACTCTGAGATAAACCGTGTTGGGAATAACACGCCACGTTCTCGTAAGATCACATACATTCTTTTGAACAATAGCAGGAAATTGCCACCTTAGCCAGACGGGAAACATATCTGAAGGCAACCGGCACTTTACTAGCAGTGTCTGACTGTCATTTACAACATGTACAATTCTTGCAATCTTTAACCAACATAGAAAAGCTTTATTTCCGTCACCTCTATATGCAGTATTATTATTATTTTTATTTTTTTTATTTGTCAATATATACTGTCTAAGTAACTCCTGGAATTGTACAGATGTCGGGATTGAGAACACATCAATGGCTGGATGACGCACTTCCATCCAAATGCCTTATGACAGGAGTACAGAACAATAAACACTGCTAGTGTTATAGTTCTCAGAAAATGGTTGTTTTTTCCATTCCTTTGTCTTGTTGCTTTAACACTGTTACTGTTGCTACTCATATCAAGGTCAGTAATAAGGAACAGGAATACAAATGTTAAAGGAATGAAAATACAAAGATATTCAAACAACTGTTCTCAATAGAAATGGCCTATGTCCTCTCTTGACAAACTTAGGGGCCGTTTACACAACACCGTTTTTTCAACTTGTTGGCCATTTATTTACACAACAACGGCATTTAGGGGGGCTGAAACTTTTGAAGACGGGTTTCAAAGAGCGAGTTTTTTAAAACTATACCGTTATCAAGTAAATTACAAAAACGTGAATTTGTGAAAACGGTGACAACATGCTCATGCGTATTAAGTGTTCAGTCTATAGACGCGTAGTGTTTCTTTACAAAGTGATATCGCCACCTACTGGCCTGGCTGAAGAGTACAGCGACTTTCCTCGTTTCCGTGTTATCCAGCCTGATCTCACGGCAATTCGTACGAATTTTACGAGGTGGCTAATTCGTACTAATTCATACGACCTCACTCGTACACATTCGTACGATTTTTGCTAATTCGTACATATTTTACGAGTTACCAAATTCGTATGAATTCGTACGAATGACCTACCCCTGACCCCGCCCCTAAACCTACCCATCACGTGGGTTTAGACAAATCGTACGAATTCGTGCGAGTGAGGTCGTATGAATTAGTACGAATTAGCCACCTTTTAATCACTCGTACGAATTCGTACGTATTGGTCGTGAGATAGCGTTGTGTTATCCGTGTGTACGGGGATCATTTTGACAAATTTGTCATCTGTAAGTGTCTTTTTAAGTACATCATTGTCATGTAAAGATACCCTAAATGTCCCAAGCCTATAGTGTTACATTTTAACTCTTTCCTCGCCATTTATACGGGCATTTCTTGTTTTCTGTGTTTTCACTGTTATAGGGTAGGGGGCGCTATTACACATCTTCTGAAAGAGTACTGGATCTCCTGATCAAAAGAAATGTGAAGAATAAGCAGCATATGTAAGCAGATGCATATGTAAAATAACGCGATCATCAACGTTAAACAGCATATAAATCAAAACTGCCTAATGTTACTGAGTGAAATGTCGACCCAGGACGAGCTACAGGACTGTGAAGCTTTAGTGGTGTTGATGGACTCGATCTACTCCATCTGTTTTCTGACCATCGTTCTGAATCTGATCTGCACTTAGTCTTTGACAAAACGCATTTTTATCAGCTTTTTGCTTTAAGTTTTTTCAAATGTTTTTTTTTTACTTTAAAGGGATACTCCACTTTTTTGGAAATAGGCTCATTTTACAACTCCCCCAGAGTTAAACTGTTGAGTTGTACCATTTTTGAATCCATTCAGCCGATCTCCGGTTCTGGCGGTACCACTTTTAGCATAGCTTAGCATACATCGTTGAAGTGGACAAGACCATTAGCATTTCTAAAAAAAAAATGACCACAGAGTTTCGATATTTTTCCTATTTAAAACTTGACTCTTCTGTAGTTACATCATGCACTAAGACCGACGGAAAATGTAAAGTTGCGAATTTCTAGGCTGATATGGCTAGGAACTATACTCTCATTCCTGCGCAATAATCAAGAAACCTCACTGCCGTACCATGAGTGCAGCAGGCGTAATGATATGACGCAGCGCCTGAAAATAGTTCCGTTGTGTTGACGGAAGGTGGCCTTTTTTCAGGCGCTGCGTCATATCATTACGCCTGCTGCTCTCATGGTACGGCAGTGAGGTTTCTTGATTATTGCGCAGGAATGAGAGTTTAGTTCCTAGCCATATCAGCCTAGAAAATCGCAACTTTACATTTTCCGTCGGTCTTAGTGCACGATGTAACTACAGAAGAGTCAAGTTTTAAATAGGAAAAATATGTAAACTCTTTGGTCATTTTTTTTTTTAGAAATGCTAATGGTCTTGTCCACTTCAATGATGTATGCTAAGCTAAAAGTGGTACCGCCAGAACCGGAGATCGGCTGAATGGATTCAAAAACGGTAAAACTCAACAGTTTAACTTTGGGGGAGTTGTAAAATGAGCCTATTTCCAAAAAAAGTGGAGTATCCCTTTAAAAAACTGTCAACTTTTGAACACGACAGTTTATATTTTATGCATCACTTGGTATTACTATTCAGGAGTGCGTTTCCCAAAGCCAACTATGGTCACAAGATCCGTCGTTACCAATAGAGTTCAATGGAAATTGCAATCATAGTTGGCCAACGATGCTTTTGGGAAACACACCCCAGAACCGAATGATGCAATCAAAGGTTAAAGGGGATCAGGAATACACTCAAGAAAAGGACATATTTGAACCAGATCAGTCTCCATAAAACGGTTACAAATGTAACTGTCTCTCACGAAGAGACGAATTCCTGGATCCCATCTGTGATCAGCCCCCATGGCTGGTGTGACTTATCTCAAAGGTCCAACTCCTCCTCCTGGGACCTCTCTAATATATGTCTATTTAGGAATATGCAGAAACATACAGACGTGTCTGATTACATCGAGTATGTAGTAATGAAGGCCTGGGTCCTCCAGCGTAATGTCTTATTTATTTAACTGGAGAAGCAAGAGAGCAAACGAGATGAAGATAGCTCATTTTCCACATCTTTGGGGAACGGGAAAATGAGATGCCGGCACCAGTGAAGGCAGGGCAACTCTTTTCACGCTAACCCCGTCAAGGCCCACACGCAACAGGATAAACCCAAGGGCTTTCTCAAACTCCAATCAGACTCGTTCATACTTAAATGTCAGTGATTTCAGCTCTGGAGATTGTGAAAAGTTCTGCAAAATCGTGTGACTTAATCTTATTCTCTACTCCCTTAGCCCTCATAAAACTACACATATGAACACCTGGAGAGGGCTGTCCACTTTTCCCTGTCCTTATTCACGAAGCCTCGCATGGATTTCATGTGTTGAGTGTGGACTCTTTAGATTCATGGTTTGTAATATGAA